CTTCTTTGAGAAATGCTATTAGCTTTACTTGCTGCTCTTTTGCTGCGGGAAAGGGAGTGACCAACAGTGGGCTTGTCTTCACTACCCGCCTGGAATGGCGGGTAGAAATCGATCTCCCGGGGATCGAATTATCGCGTCTCATCAGGACGCGACAATCGATCCCCGAATTGACGCGCGTACTCCACCAGCGCAGGTAGGAGTAAGCGCCGTCGACGCGGGAGCCGCAGCGGTCGATTTGCTGCCGTCCTCACAGCGGGGTAAGTCGGCTCGGATACGTCGAATTCAGCTATGCTATTCGCGTCGCTGAATTTGCGTATCTTAAATCGATTCCCCCCCCCAGTGTGGACCTAGCCAGTGGTTCAATTGCTCTCGCGTGGTAGGGCCCTGCACAGTTCAGGATCCTCCCCTGCTTAGAGCTGTACATTTGGCACCATCAGCCCCTCTTTCACAGCTGGCACTGGGAAGGGCAGAAGCAGAGACTTTAAGATAGCTTGGCCTTGCTCATTAAGGGTTCAGATAAGGACCAAGGATCCTGAAACAGATCTGGAATTGCACAGGAAGGCACAATAGGGCATGGAACATTGGTGTAGTATTTTCCCATCAGTTAGATGTGAGTAGGAAGTAGGCTACCACGTATTGAACCTGCTGTGGCTTCTGGGTGGCCTGTGCTGTCAGGTCCAGCCAGTTTCAATAATTTTTTTTTCTATTCTCTGACATTTAATTTGAAAACACATTAGTGTATCAAATTCTTCATTTGGTGTTTCATTGTATCCTTTTACAGATGCTCTACTGGAGTTGCTAGGTTCTAACCTCCTCCCTGGCTGCGTGGAATTACTGCTCCTTGCCCTACTCCATTTGGTTCTCCCAAGAGGTGGCTGCATTTCAAAGGGATATATAATTTGCAAAGCACTATGGGATTGTTTTGGCAGAAAGACACTGTTATTAGTATCATGGGCATTTATTTTCAGATAACCTAATGTTTAATGTGGATGATTATTTTTTATTTGCATGACAATCCCCAGTAGAGATTGGAGCCTCCTGTCACGTACACAGTAAGATCCCATTTCTGCCCCAAAGACAAGTAGACAAGGATCAAGAGGGGAAATAAAGGGACAGTAGGGAATAGTGCCTGGCCAAAAGTCAGTGCCAGAGCCAGAAATAGATCCCAGGTCTCCTAAGATCCAGACCAGTGCCCTACCACTAACCACGCCGCCTTTCCAATAGAGTCTTCATAAGGTAGATTCAATTCTATTTAAATTCACAGTACCAGAAACCCTGTGCAATTTCAATCAAAAGCAACGAGAGAAAAAAGATTTACTACAAAAAAGAAGCCATTGTTCCCTTCTTCTATATTCCAGTCTAGCATGGAGTGCTCAGTGGAAACGGGAAAGGACCTTATTGTAACAAGATGCTATAATAATTTTACTTGAAACCCTAAAACTAATTCAGGGCTCATTAAAAAAAAATGGTGAAAGAGAATGGTTTCTTTAAGATGTTCTTGGTCAGAGAATATGCTAAGCATGCATTTCTAATATCTGGGTGGGCAAACGCAAGTGGAAATTTCAATTCTACAGAGGCACGGAGAATGTGCTTCTGAAAATGTTTCCAGTCAAAAACATGTGAAGTGTGAAAGTGTGGTCTACACGGAGCGAAGGAGAGAGTGTGGTCTGTCACATCATCAGCTGGAGTTTGTGGCCTTTCTGGGTATTAAGCACATTTGGTGTTTGTTGCCATGGCTCTGACAAAACGGACCGATGAGAACATCCATGTCTCGCTAAACTGCTTCTGAGGAGAACTGTGTGCAAGTTGCCTGGTAATTCCATACAGGAAAAACAACTATCCTGGAAGAACTAAAGGGGCTAAAAAAGTGAGGCAATTTGGACATACCAAGATAATGGCCCTTTCTCAGCAGCACTGGGGTGTGTGTGTGTGATTTAACTCCATCCTTAACTCAGCCCACTGTTACTGCTCATTATTTTTATAGAGATGTAAATGTACAAGGTGTAGTAGAGAAGGCGCAAAACATGTACACTTCACCAAGAATTCACAGTGCAATCTGGGTCCCACTAGACACCCCTTGTGTGCACACCCAAGCGCGTTCCCAACAACGCACTTGGCTGGTGGTGAAAGATCCCAGACCTCTGCTTGCTTAGTCAGCGGCTTATCTCAGTATCTAGCTCCCTGGAGATGGTGCCAAAGCCTTCTGGGCTTGTCTGCATCCAACCCAGGCACCTCCAAATGGCTTTTCAAAATCTCCAATGGAAATCTTTCTTGCTGAGCAAGGATCATGAGCCGAGAGTTCACCCAGGCCTCCTGCTTGGAAACGGTGCCACACCACAGAGTTATGCAACTTCCCTGTGGAAATTATAAGCATTTCCTTGAGCGTTTTGGGAGTCTGGCCTCTTCTTTCGCAGTTCCAAGGGTGTACATGGATGTCTGTTGAAGCCACTGCTTCTGAGCACTGTGCTGGGAACAGTGAGATACCCACCTAAACAGCAATGTGACTGCAATGTTGTAAAACAGCAACCGTGCCGAGACCAGGCAAAAGTGCAACAGTTCTTCACCTGAAACAGCCCATGGCCTATGGAGACAGAGCACACCACTGGTGATGACACTGGTGCTCTCTCATGGGTTCCATTCTCTAGTGCAGACACAGCATTAGAGAGATAGAAGACATGGCTCGCACAGGAGGGCTTTGGGAAAGCAGCGGGTTGTAAGGGGAGATTCAAAAGAAGAGAGGAAGGCCAGCTGGCTCATTTGAAACTGAGGCGGTCCCAAAATGAAGTATTTTTTCACACAACAAGGGTCAACCTGTGGAACTCCTTGCCAGAGGATGTGGTGAAGGCCAAGACTATAACAGCGTTCAAAAAAAGAACTAGATAAGTTCATTGAGGATAAGTCCATCAATGGCTATTAGCTGGGATGGGCAGGGATGGAGTCCCTAGCCTCTGTTTGCCAGAAGCTGGGAATGGGCGACAGAGGATGGATCACTTGATGATGACCTGTTCTGTTCATTTCCTCTGAGGCACCTGGCACTGGCCACTATTGGAAGACAGGATACTGGGCTAGATGGACCTTGGGTCTGACCCAGTATGGCCGTTCTTATGTTCCAGACAAAGGAACGGGAGAGCATGAGTGCACTGAATCAAGCAGGCCTGGAGCCGTCACCACGGTACCTGCTGGGATCACCTGCTGTTGAGCTCTGATCCTGAAAGCCCTTGCGCAGTACACAGAAAGGAGTGCGAAAGGCCAATATGACTGAGTGACAGCAAAGGTCTGAACAGAAGCTATACAAGGCACAGTGAGACTTAAGCCAGCACTTAAAGTTCATCAGGTGCAGAAGTGCTTTCCTGAATCAGGATCTGAGCTCAGAACTGTGGGACACACATAACGGTCTTGCAATCTAAATTAGTCAGATGGTGCAGATCAGACACACAATACAGCAGAGGACCCGATGTGACAGAATATATCCCCGTGTTCAGGCCCGACACGCTATTGTAATAATCTTTGTACAAAGTATGCCTTGTAAGGTATCATTTAAAAACACATAATTTGCTGATCAATAATATCATGGCAAACGCACATATCAGCATTATATGTCAAGTTATAGACGCAAACTGAGATTATGACTAAAAATAAGGTTTTCCAGAGAAGTCTGGGGAGTGACCAAACCAGTTCCTCAAAGACAAAGGGTAAACTGATGCCTCAGACAGGTGTAAACAAGGCTGATGGACCATTACCTGCTAAGTGGCCATTCTTTGGCAGGAAAAGGGCAAAAAAAAAAAATCTACATCTTAGCAAAGAAAGAACATGGGAGTTCCTTTCCACAAAGACTGCCTGTCACCTTGCTCCCAGCTGGCAATGCTTCTCAAAGGGGGAACACTGCAAGACACCCCTTTCTCTCTCCATGCCCACTGCATTCATGCCACCAAAAGCAAAAAAGGACTGGACTCTGGGAGAAGGGGTGGTGACCTACAGGCTTTGGTCAGGAAGACTGCTGAAAGCATATGGTGAGAAACTTTGCTTGAATCTGATACAGTTTGTTGAGTTAGGTATTACAGTCAATATCTTATCTTTATTTTCTTGTAACCATTTCTGATCTTTATGCCTCAATTCCTTGTACTCAAAATCTCTCTTTGTGGTTAATAAACGTGTTTTATCTAATCCAGTAGGTTTAAATTGAAGAGTCCGGGAAACTCCATTTGGGGTGACAAGTTGTGTGCATATTATTTCTTTTCAAGAAACAACAGACCAAATATGACTTTTGTATTTTCCAGGAGAGGGCTGGGCAGTACAGGACATAGATCTCCAGGAGAAAATCTAAGACTAGAGGTGCGTTGGGGTCACCCTGCAGAATAACCAAGGCTGGTGAGAGCCAGAGCGTAACCCAAGGGTGGCTGGCAGGCTGCAGCTACAAGCAGACACTTAGGGTCTGGCTTGCGTGCTGGAAGGCTGTTTGTGAGTAGCCCAGGTGGGAGCTACTTCAGCAAGGAATTGTAAGACACCCACGGTTGCAGGGCAGGGTTGACACTGCCCCCTCACTGTTCTGGACTGCACCCCGGTATCTCACACCAGATAAGGTTTAAAGGCCATGTTTTTCTTTTCAACAGGGTGTGACAACTAATCAAGCCCTATTCTGCACTGAATAAAGAAACAAGATTAGACATGCCATCACTGCAACCTTGTGTAGCTAAATATAGGAAACTATTTGGTCTCCCAGATTATGCAGCTAAGGGGAAGAAAAAACACAATCCCCCAATAAATTATGTATGTATGTAGCTTCCAGGGAATCCTGCTGTACTGATCACAAATTAAATGGACTCTGAGGTAACGAAAATCTGATCTGTCCAACAAATGAAAAATGAGTGTTACAGCTGGATATTGCAGTTAACTGTGTGCCTGAACGCCATCAGACACTTGGACAGTGCTCAGTGGAGACCTGCTCTGGAGAAGTGTGGCTGCGAGAAATAGGGATGTTGGTTGTTTTTTAAGCTCCTTACCGTGACTGGCAGGGGTGTGTGTTACATCTCCTGACTTGGGGTTCAGGGCGCATCACACGCTGGCAGTCACTGTCATTCACCAGCATCATGGTCTTGTTAACGATCCTAGTACAGGACACAATGGTTTTACGTTCACCTAAAAGTCAAACCAAAAACAATGGCAAACCAGTAAGCTAGTTAATTGCTGGAGGCTGTTAACTATTTAAGATCAACATGTTATTTAACAAATCTCCTCTACAGCTAAATTCTTTCTGCCTACCTCTACCTATGGCATACAGAACTAATAGCTCTGTGGATGTTTCTGTCTTCTCTGCCTTCTCTTTGGGTTGCTCTGTCCTGTCAGCAAAGGTGCAAATTAGGGCCCTACCAAATTCACGGTCCATTTTGGTCAATTTCATGGTCAGAGGATTTTTAAAATAATCAATTTAATGATTTCAGCTATTTAAAATTGAAATGTCACAGATGTAATTGTAGGGGTCCTGACCCAAAAGAGGGGGGCACTGCAAGATTATTGTAGGGAGGTTGTGGCATTGGCATCTTTACTTCTGCATTGCTGCTCGCTGGGCAGCAGCTCTGCCTTCAGAGGGGGCAGCTGCTAACCGGGAGCCCAGCTCTGAAGGCAGCACCACCGCCAGCAGCAGCGCAGAAGTAAGGGTGGCATGGTATGATATTGGCACCCTTTATTTCTGCGCTGCTGCCTTCAGAGCTGGTCCCTTGGCCACCCATTGCCACCCTTACTTCTGCACTGCTGCTGGCAGTGCTACCTTCAGAATTGGGTGCCTGGCCAGCAGCTGCCGCTTTCCAGCCTCCCAGCTCTGAAGGCAGCACAGAAGGGTCGCAATACCATGATCCCCCTACAATAACTTTGCAACCCCCACCCCGCAACCCTCTTTTGAGTCGGGACCCCTAGTTTGAGAAATGCTGGTCTCCCCTGTGAAATCTGTATAGTATAGGGTAAAAGTACATAAAAGACCAGATTTCATGGTGGAGACCAGATTTCATGGCTCATGATGCGTTTTTCATGGCCGTTAATTTGGCGGGGCCGTAACAACAATCACGAATGCGACTGCTCCAGCAGTGTTAGTATACTGAGCTACGTCTTTCAATTCTTAACGTAAATACACCCTCGAAAGCAATCTGCATTGGTTTAGGTTCCTCCGCCACATGCTGCTGGGACCCATACATCACCTAGCACAGATGCTCCGGGGAAGTAGAGTGGAGCCGGACAACCGGCCACCTCTGTGGATGACTAATAATGACCTGAGATCCACCACTTGGCCTGAGCTTCCTGTTGTACAGCTGGGCTCCTGCTGCTTCTTCCCCTTCATCCTGACTAACATCCAACTCATTTAATGCAGCCAAAACAAGGTCGAAAGGGAATGAGCAGGCCTCAAACGCTGCAGTTTGGGCTTACTCAAATTTTACAAGGGAATAAAATAAGCAGCTACAATATATATCATTTCTGGTCCTCAGGCCCTCTGGATGTACTACACGAAAAAGTACTGCCAACTTGACACACCAGGCTCAAGAGTCTCTTCTTCTTCTCTGCTGTATCCCGCCAACTGGGGTTGGTGGCTCTCGTTCACCAGCGCCAAGTGTTCTTGTCACAAGCGGACACCAACCTTTTTTCAAGTCCTCTTTCAGTGTCTCAAACTGCTTTCTTTAAGATCTTCCTCAAGGTCTCTGTCCCGTGACTACTAGCTCATGTAGTCTCTGGCCAATATATCCCACATCTCATCATCTCACATGGCCCAGCCGATACTCCCTTGGTTTTTCGTGTGTGTGTGTGTTGGGTGTGTGTCTACCTTCATCATGGCTCCTACTGTTTCACTGCATAACTTATCAGCAATTATCTGACTCAGCATTCTCAATTTGGCAATGTGAGGTCGTTGTTCTTCTCGCTTCCAAACTGGCCAGCATTCCAACCAGCCTAATCCGATTCTTAATTCACACTGCTCTTTAGTTTACTTTGCATATTCTTATTGCAAAGAATTCTTATCACTCCCTCCACTTCCACCAACTGCTCTTCATGTGGCTGCTAGCATCCTCATCCACATGCTGATCATGGCTCCACACTGACCCAAGGTGTTCAAATTCTAGCATGGACTTTAATTTGATACCATCTCATTTTATTGTCTTCTTGTTGTCCCTCAAAGCATTCTATGTACTCCAGCTTTTGTGAGCTGATGCGTAAGTCATTTTCTTCTAACGCAGCCCATCGCAGCTCTAGGGCTGTTTCCAGTTCATACTTATCTTTGGGGCACAACGTAATGTTGTCGGTGAAAAGCATGCTCCCCGGAGCCTCTCCCCGAATTTCCTGCCTCAAGGTGTTCATTGCAATCACAAATAAGAGCGGGCTAAGGGCTAATCCTTGATGTAGGACTACCCTCGCAGTGAATGACTCACTGTAGCCACAGCTGCTTCTCATTACTGTTGTGCTTCCCTGGTACACGACCATGATAGTCTGAACATATGACTCCAGCAGATTGTGTACCCATAGCCACCTCCATAACAACTGTCTAGGAATTCAGTCATAAGCCTTCTCTAAATCCACAAATACTAAGTGCAATTCCTTGTGTTTCTCTCCACATTTCTCCTGCCATTGTTGGCCTTCCTGGCACAAATCCAAGTTGATGCTCCAGCGCCTCCCAAAGTATTTTCTCAATAATTCTTTCCAGACACTTCACGGCATGACTCATCAACTTGATGGGTCAGTAATGACTCCATATTTGCACATCTCCTTTATGCCTGAAGTTAGGGACCAATGCGCTCTTCCTCCACCCGCCAGGAATTTTTCCAGTACAGAGAATTAAGTTGAAAAAGTTTGTCATCATTACCACTCCTTCATGGCCTAATGCTTTAAATACCTCAATTGGTACATCATCTGCTCCCACAGCCTTCCCACGGTTCATCGTCTTTAGCACTGTCTGAGACCACTGCGGTGATAGGGCTTGTCCGGTTTTTGCTTGTGCATACTTCCCTCAATGGTTTCTTCACATTCTCTTTACTGAGCAGTTTCTCATAAAACTGCTGCCACCACCTAATGATTTCACCATCTTCCCCTGGTACTCTTCCATTTTCATCTTTGACACACTTCACAGCTCCCAAGTTCTCTGCGCTTCTTTGCTTCATCTTGGCTAAGCTACATATTCCTTTTTCCCCTTCCTTCATTAGTAGACTACTTCCTGAGTAGTCCTTTAAATGGCTGACCCTTTGCTTCTGCAACTGCTCTTTTAGCTATTTTCTGTACCAGTTTGTACTACTCGGAACTTACCATCACTCTTATTTTCTGCCAGTGCCATTCTTCTTTACTGCTTCCTGCATGTCACTGGGCCACCACCAATTTCCCTCATGTCCTCTGGCCTTAGACAGCTTGTGCACTTTCTGCAATATATTTGGATATTTTCCCCAATTCTTATTGGTATCATCACGGCCAGTTTGGTTGTTGTCCAATCTCCATAGAACCTCATCCTTAAATTTCACACTCCGGCTCAAGACACCACACTCCAGAATGGTTCTACTATTTCCACACAACCTATGTCTCTGAATCAGCTGAGAAGGGGGCTCAACTCCACTGATGAACATGGCACCTTGGGCTTAACAATCCACTTTGACGCGAAGATGTTGCGTTGTGACAGTGAGATAGTTGCCTTTCAACACGGTGAGTCAACGCCATGATGTCACAATGTAAACATCACCAACTCACCATGCAAACCTGCCCTAGTGATATTTATTTGGGGGAAACTCCTCAAGCGTCTTCCATTATAACCTTAAGTCTGGCTGTTTTATAGACTTGACAAACTGAATGCTCGTGACCAAACAAAAAAACCCATTAAGACCTGTCACTGGAAAGTTCAGTGTGAATTAAGTCCCTGATCACATTTAGAACCATAAGTGAGTCCCAATCTAAAAGTCCCAAAGGGAAGAAGACCTTTCCACCAAGAACAAGTACTGAAATGTGTCTGAAAACCAAAGTGCTTAAGAACTGACATACCCGAGCCTATTGATGGTGGGACCCATATTGCCAGAAGGTGATATTTGAGCCCCTAACTGTGTGGAAAGCCTATTGTACCTAAGACCCCGTCAACAGGTTTAAGACTCGCTCTCGTAAGGGCTCAATGACTGGGAGAAATTGTTATTGTAAAAGGAAAGCAAACAAGTCAATTTTTAAATCAACTACTTTATAAGAAAAAAAAATACAGGCATTTAGTGTACTGAGGTTGAAGGATCCTGGGGGTGGCAAACCTGACGAGGAGTGAGATTTTTAACCTGAGCACTCTAACTCCTTTGTGGTATCTTCATGATGGGATGAATTCCTGGAGCTGGCACCAACCACTCAGTGCTAGTCGTGAAAGGAGATTGGCCAGGGGTGACCTGATTCCCTAGGGAGAATTAAAGCTGCCTCTCCCATATACGGAACGCCAACATATAGTGGCAGATGCAGCATTAACTGTCTTCTGTGGGGATCAAGTCCCCCTCTGGCTTCGTGAATCTATCCCAGAATGCCCCAGGAAAAATCAACTGAAAAGTGTGATCTGCAGGGTGCTAATGAGGTTAGCTGGTTAAGGGTTTCTGATGCAATCTACAGCAAATTGTCACAGTGCGACTGCTCCTGCTTCATCCTCGGAGAAGGAAGTTTCTTTCAGCAAATATGCATGCCTGCCTGCGAAAACCCTGCTCCAAGAATCTGACTGAGCCTTGAGATATGGGGCTGCATATAAGTGCCTTGAGCCATCCGTGAAGCACTAAACCAGGTGCAGTTCCACTGCATAGTAATGAACCGACAAAGAAGCAGCCCTGCCAGAACACTGACCGAGTATAGACTGCACGGCTGCTGCTAACTCGGAGATCTGGTGAAAGCGAGCTTTCCCCCAATTGCCATGCCAACAGCCATTTCCGTAGCTTAGCCTTCCTCGTGATGTCTGTGCTTTGGCAGCGCTGCAGCCCGTGTTCTGCATTCACCTCTCTTTATTGCCTGCCTTGGCAAACACTGTACAAAACAATCCCACCACGTTCCCAAATGGCCTTACCTCCTCCACACTGCACACTGCATCCTTCCCATCCGCTGTGTGTCCAGATGTACAAAGAATCCTGTTGTTTTTCTGGCTCGCTTCTGTTTTCGGCGGTATAGTTGACAGGAATGGTGTATTCGTAATGAATTCCATAATTCTGGTCATGAAATAACAGCACCTGGTTCAGCAGCAGAAGAAAGGCTGTTATGATACACTGCACTGGAAAAGCCGACAGAGTGCAGAGATGGCAAAGCCAGCAATGCTGTCTCAGACCAACACGTTCAAAGGCAGGTGCTTCAAGAAAGGCCCCCAAATCCTTATTTAGGCACTACAATCAAAGTGGCCTGATCTTCAGAGGTGCTGACACAAAGGAAAACCACAAGAGCTGGTGCTCAGAGCTTCTGAAAAAAAAAAAATCAAGCAACTTATGGAGGTGTCCAAAACCAGACTTCAGTGTCTAACATTAAGTACTCACTTTTGAAAAATTTGGCCTTCGCTTTTTTTGGTCTCAGATGTGATGAGTTGGCTTCAAAACAGAATTAAGTCGACAGCAGGAAACATTAAATCAGATTGATGTTCATAAAGTAACTAATTAAGTTAACGATTGCATGGAATTAAGATGCCATTCATCATACGTGCCTTAATTTGTTTTGGGAAGCCAGGCTTGTTGCCAGGCCGATCTATTTATTCAGCCTTCTGGGAGGATGAGTGGGTTGGGAGAGAGAGGTGTTTTTTGAGTTTAACATCATATCACTTCACACGGGAATTGATTAATGCTGCAGAGAGGCGCGTTTAACAGCTTAATCAATAAACAAGTCAAATCATCACCATGGGAAATTGTGCTGACAAGAACGAGTCTGTCCTGAGCTAACTGACAAACCCCACTAATGGGATGTGACTGTCTCTCCCTACACACAGGTATTTTCTGAAGAAAGAAAGAAGGCGCTGGGCTTTTTCACGTCAGGCATTGACATCCAAGTTTGACGCCGCTGCAGTGATGCTGAGGTGTGAAACCTGCTTCTAACAGGCTCATGTATGACCTCTCCAGCCTCTCTACTCTGTGAAATTCGCTAAAAGGGACCACTATAAACAAAAGGAGGGCTGAAAAAGGGTGCCTCATTATTAGTCATAATGGGCGTGGAGTTCCGATTCTACTTGGATCTACCCACTGGGTCAGATTTGGCTCTCACTTTCACTGAATAACTCTGGTAAAAGGGGTCCCACCGGTATAAAACGTGTGAGAGATAAGAAACAGACCTACTGCATCTTTTATCTGTATTACTGTGCTATGTAAAAGATCGGCGGGAGGGCTTTACTAGCTGACTTTGGAGCACATCTATTTTCTGGACCAGACTCTCAGTGGGCGTAAATTGGAGTATCTCCTTTGAAGTCAATGGACCTATGCCAATTTACACCAGCTGTGGATGTGGCCTCTGTGATTTTTAAAAACAGACATAATTACTATTACAACATAACCCCAGTAGCATTAAAACAATAATTTGAACAGGAACCCTCCAGGCACCCAGGGTCGGCTCCAGGGTTTTGGCCGCCCCAAGCAGCCAAAAAAAACCCCCCAAAACCCCACGATCATGATCTGCGGCGGAAATTCGGCGGGAGGTCCTTCGCTCCGAGCGGGAGTGAGGGACCGTCTGCCAAATTGCCGCCGAATAGCTGGACATGCCGCCCCCCTCCGGAGTGGCTGCCCCAAGCACCTGCTTGCCAAGCTGGTGCCTGGAGCCGGCCCTACAGGCACCCACAGGTACGCTCCTTTCTGACTGTTCATTGTTCTGGAAACACATTTTCAACCCGCTTAAAAACCCCAATCAAATAAGGTTTATAAGCACCCATGACCTGGGATGGGGCATAAAATGATTGTACATGCGCTCGAAGCCTGGACTTGAGTTTAGAGCTGTCTGAATAATTGATATTTTGGTTCAGTAGCTGAAACCAAAAAAATCTCCCCAAAATTTCATTGAAGGTTGACCTGAAACAATTGTTTTTGTTTGTTTTTTCCACTTTTTATCTCTTTTTTTTTTAGTTTTTCTTTCCAAAATAAATCCAACTATATTTCAAAATGAAAATTTTCATTTTAATAAAATTGAAGCAAAATGTTTTGACTTTTGTCAAATTTTTTTCCAGCCAAAACTATTTGCTAAATTGGACCCAAATTTGCTAATAGTTTCAGTCAACTCAAAACTGCACTTCAGTGAATAAACTGTCTGAAAAATTTTGCCTGGTTTCATTTGAGTTGCAGCAATTGACTCCCTATAGATGAGCACTGTAAGGGCAGCAGGCACGCTGCACCTTTTAGTTGATCTCCACAGTAAACAAGTCCGGACAGAAAAGTATCTTCCATGAGGAGTGGGAAACAAAGAGAAGTTTTTGCTTTGGCTACAGAGGAAACTTTGTTTTTCATAGATTCTCAGGCCAGAAGGGACCATTGTGATAATCTAGACTGGCCTCCTGTACAGCACAGGCCATAGAACTTCCCACAATAATTCCTAGAGCAGAGCTTTTAGAAAAATAGCCAATGTTCCTTTAAAAATGGTGATGGAGAATCTGCCATGACCCTTGGTAAATTGTTCCAATGATTAATTATTCTTACTGTTAAAAAATGACACCTTATTTCTAGTCTGAATTTGTCTAGTTTCAGTTTCTAGCCATAGGTCATATTAGACCTTTCTCTGCTAGATTGAAGAGTCCATTATTAAATATTTCTTCCTCCTTATAGACTGTAATCAAGTCACCCCGTAACCTTCTCTTTGTAAAGTAAATAGATTGCACTCAAGTCTATCACTATAAGGCATGTTTTATTCTTAGCTTGAAGCCAAAGTTAAGCCCGCTCTGGACCACATGATCATCATGTTTACAAAGCTTTCTGCAGCATCCAAAACATTAGGCAACAGTCAGCAGAGAAACTCAAGTCCTGCTCTGACTTTATTTAAGCACGCGAGGTATGAGCAGCCCATTCTATTGCACTACGGAAACAGTCATGTTTAAAGCATCTCTGTGCTCCGGGAGTGTTGGTTGTCCTCTGTTGCCAAGAGGAGGTCTAGCATAGGCCTAGCTACACAAACATTCATTTATCCAAGAAATATACTTACAGTAACACATTTGGAGAAATGCCCCAAATATTAAAAAACAGCTCCTTAAACGAGATCCTTATTATCTCAGTATGGAAACAAAACGAGTGACTCGAAGGGCCCATATGAAACCAATTTCATAGCCACATATAATATGCGTGTGTGTGTGTGTGTAATTGATTTCAAATGCAAGTCACAATAGATTCAGTGAGGCTTCTGGCTCTCTGTCAGTCATGTATGTTCCACCGTTGTTTAGACAACAGTTTTCTATTTAGAGGTAACTGGTAACCATCCTTCTCATTCTTGTTGTTGAAAGAATTAAAACCACTATCCTATTTCAGGGAAAAGATTAATATTTGAATTGAAAAAAGAGTTTCAAATAAATTATGTGCTGTTTTAAGTGAGCTTTGTTTATTACTCTCCCAATGACTTTGGGCTGCATATTTGTTCTAATGGTCCGATACTGGTCTCTCGCCCATCTTTAAAGCATATCTGGGGAAGCGGGAGAGAAAGGAAAAAAATCCTTTCTATTAATATCTGACTGAAAAGTCAGTTTGTATTACAGTAGAAACTCAGAGTTACGGACATCAGAGTTATGAACTGACCGGTCAACCACACACCTCATTTGGAACCAGACAAAACAGTTACCTACCTTTCGTCACTGTTGTTCTTTGAGATGTGTTGCTCATTATTCATTCCAAGTAGGTGTGTGTGTGCCATGTGCACAGTAGTTGAAAGGTTTTTCCCCTAGCAGTACTCGTCGGGGCCCATTGGAGTCGTGCCTTCATGGCTGTGTATATAGGTCCCTGCCGACCCACCGCCTCTTCAGTTCCTTCTTGCCAGATGTTCCGACAGAGGGGAGGCGGGTGGATATGAGCAACACATCTTGAAGAACAACGGTTACAAAAAGGTAAGTAGCCATTTTTTCTTCTTCGAGTGCTTGCTCATGTCGATTCCAAGTAGGTGACTCCCAAACAGTTCCTAGGAGGAGTCGGAGTTCACCGAGTCGCAGACTGCAGTCATCTCTAGCCTGACGAGTAATGGCATAGTGCGACATAAAGGTGTGGATTGATGGCCATGTTGCTGTCCTGCAGATGTCTTGACTGGGCACCTGCAGCAGAAATGCTGCCGAGGAAGCCTGCGCTCTTGTGGAGTGTGCGGTTAATGCTGAGGCAGGTATTTTGCTCTGTCGTAGCACGTCCTGATACAGGCCGTGATCCTTAAAGAGATCCTTTGGGATGACACTGGAAGCCCTTTCAGTCGCTCAGCAATTGTGATGAAGAGTTGTGTTGATTTTCTAAACAGCTTTGTCCACTCAATGGAAAAAGCTAATGCTTGTCTGATATCCAGGGAGTGGAGCATTCGTTCCCGGTTACTAGCATGCGGCTTAGGGAAGAGCACGCGAAGAAAAGTGTCCTGAGTTGCGTGGAATTGCAAAACTATCTTTGGGAGGAAAGCCAGGTGTGGCCGCAACTGCACCTCGTCCTTATAAAAAACAGTATAAGGGGGCTCGGGTGTCAAGGCCTTAAGCTCAGACACCCTCCTGGCCGAAGTTATAGCCACTAGAAATGCCACTTTCCAGGAAAGATAGAGGAGAGAGCAGGAGAAAGGGCTCAAAAGGAGGGCCCATCAGCTTTGAGAGCACCAGGTTAAAATCTCATGGGGGGCTCGGCTGTCTTACTTGAGGGTACAGTCTACCTAGTCTTTTGAGGAAGCGGCAAACCATGGGGTTAGCAAATAGCAGAACCAGGATGGCAAACCGAGATGGCGGCCAGGTGCACCTGTCTTGATGACACTGCCAGGCCTTCCTGTTTTAGGTGCAGTAAATAGTCCAGGATGAAAGGAATCGATGACTGTAACGGCAGACTGTCCTTTTGCAGTGACCAAGTCGAGAATCTCTTCCACTTAGCCAGATAAATTGCTCAAATGGATGGTTTCCTGCTGCCAAGGAGAACCTCCCTAACAGAGTCTGAGCATGCAAGCTCCAAGGGATTTAGCTACAGAGTTTCCATGCTGTGAAGTGGAGAGACTCTAGATTGGGATGTTGGAGGTGGCTGTGGTCCTGTGTGAGCAAGTCTGGGACCAGGGGCAGTGT